CCGAGCCTTAAATGCCATATTTTGTTCAAATTTAACTTTTGTCTTTTAGTAGGAAATTATTGAATTTGATAGAAGTTTCATAGGTCGTTTAATTCTTATGCCAATTAATCAAAATTTAAGCGTCTGAGTCAAACTTATGCAATTTACCAACTGTTGATCAATCAAATATTAATACAGGCAATTGGCCGTTTTTGAGTTACTATCAAAAGAACCTTTTTGGTGATCACGTTTTTTTGGGAAGGGATGTAATTTTGAGCAGAATCTCATTCAAAATAAATGAATCTTGACTTATGGAAGACAGGAAATAAAATTCTAATTCAAGCTTTTCTATGACATTACATACTTAAAAATACTGGCTCATATATCGAGATATTAATTTAAATCTTGTTTAACTGTGCTTAAATTTGGAGCATCATTAATTAAAATAGAATCATTTGCTATGTTTCCAAACAATAAACAAATTATTTCCGCTGATAGATTGGTAGCATCTTCTTCCATTGTGTGGGCGGACATGTTTCTTTCGTTTAGACCTAATGGCTTTCCGCACAATACCTGCAATATCTACATGGGTTATAAATTTATACTAGTGTAGGACTGACCAGATTAAAGGTAGTCAATTTTTGAAATGTCTATTAATATTCAAAAACAATCAATTATTTACTATATTCAAATTAATACACAACAACATTGTATGTCCTTCTTTAAGTGGCTATTCTGGTCTAGAGACATGCAATTTAGGTAATTTTTGAAGTGCTATAAAAAAACAAGCAGTATTTTTATTAGCAATATTATATACATTATTTATTCACATTAGAAGCATACAAAAAAATTAATAAATGAAAAATTTTAAATTCCGTTAGTTATGAACGGATGGAGTGGGGCCTCTCAAAATTCGATGCGTGACCATTCCCACGATTTTAAACCTCATTGCAATCTGATAACAAAACGTGAAAAATATTTTCCAATCTTCAATAAAAGCCGCTATGTCCGGAACTACGGAAAAGTCTAAGAAAAATATTGTTTACAAAATGACCATTGACTAAAGAAAATAACATTTTTGCCCCACTTTTTAGAACGTTCTTCGATTTTTTGAAAATAATAAAAATGCCAATTTGAAAATAACCGTAGTACCGTACATAGAAGAAGACTCTCTTAAACTTTCAAGTAAATCGGTTTGACAGAATCTGAGAAATCGAGGGTATCAGATTCATAAAAAGGGTTTTGAGAAAAACGCTTTTAAAGTTTCATATAAAATATTTTGCAGTCTAAGTCATAAAATTATATTTTTAACTTACATTTATTCAATCTGTCATTCCTGCTGCATGTATCGGAACTTTCTTGACTTCGAAAGAAAAATATTTTTGGCATTTCTGTTTTCTATTCGATGAGTTCTGCCCACCTTTGATGCACCGGATGCTCGCATCTCGGAGCGGTCAATCCAGGCGTTGTCTCGTCTGATAGCAAGTGCATGCGCTTGTGGACCAATTTTCACTCCCATAATCGTCATCATCTTCAATATTGAAATAAAGCCTTCATTAGAAATACACACAGCAATAAATGTTTCAATTTCAATGATCTGAGACCACGAATGGATATGCTTTGGAGCGAAAGTTTATATCAGGGAGTTTAAGGACTCATTATTATTTTGAGTTTTTGAACACAAACACCGAATCAATAACACTTCTGATGATAAACCTGGAAGGATTTATCAACAAAAGGACATGATGGAATGAAAAGCAGACTATCGCATCTGCATTGTAATGCAATTTTGAATTCGAGTCAGCTTTGAGCCGTTATAGAAAATCTAATCTCATTGTTGTATGCAGTACACGAAATTTATTTATTTATTTATTTCAAATGGCAGGCTTTATGATATTTATCATTAGCCCTTAATTTTTGACCTCAGCTTCCCCCAAAAGGGGGGGGGGTACATTTATAGCAGTTAGTTAATAGCAATTCACTAGCTGTCTTCTTGCTTCCCAGTATCTTTTGCTTTCCGTCCTTGTCTTTAGAGCTGGACACCGAATCAGGTGGGTCTTTTCCATTTCCTCCTGTAGGCTACACAGAGGGCATGTGGGTTGAGTGTATACTCCCAATCTGTGAAGGTGTTTTGCCAAGCAATCGTGTCCGGTACGTAGTCTAAACTCAGCAACGGCTTCGATTCTTGGCCAGTCGGGTATGTCGGAGAGCGCCACTGTCCACTGTTCGGCCGATCCATGCATTGCAAAATCGTTGTCCCCTTCTTACCAAGTTTGTCAACTACATCAATGTCTGCTAATGGGTTCATCGATTTGTAATGCTTCTTCATTTCTATGGCTTTCTGCATTAGACCAGATTGCTTTTTCAGGTGTCTTGGTCTATTCTCATAGGTGCTGAAGAAATTGTCCAATGAGTGCGCAGTAGTTTCTCATACAGGATCAAGGCCTTTTCTTTTGGGAATCTATTGTGGTGCTTCCTGCAACTAGGAGCATTGCATCAATAGGTGTTGATTTTATCCCTGAACATGGCATTGCATCAATGGGTGTTGATTTAATCCCTCCAGTAATTAGTCGTAATTCTTGGTAGTGTGCCTTCTCGAGGGGTTTGAGAGTCACCTCTTGGTTTTGGCCGTATCCCTCCATTAATTAGTCGTAATGCTTTGGCCGTCTATTCCTCTAGTAATTAGTCGTAATGCTTGGTTGTGTGCCTTCTCGTATTGGTTTGAGAGTCACCTCTGTGGCTGTAATGAGTTCTTGAGTGGTTTGAGAGTCACCTCTGTGGCTGTAATGAGTGGCGGTCGTTCGAGAGTCACCTCTGTGGCTGTAATGAGTGGCTCACAACAATAAAACATTTTTGGCTGAATAAACATCTTGTAAGTGGTGTTGAAACGGCTGAATATTTCACAGCAATACAACATTATTGGCTGAATAAACATCTTGTAAGTGGTGTTTAGGGTTGTGCGCGCACAGCTCCATACACTACCAGCAAGACGCTTTAGGACATTCAGTCTATTGGGGACTAGTTCTGCTATTTTAGCAATGTGACTTTTCCACGTTAGCTTAGTGTCAAACGTCATTCCGAGATATTTGAACTCATTGGTTTTTTCTATGGTAGTATCTTTGTACTTAAGAAGCGGGTTTATGGTGTGATGGGCCAAAGAAAAAGTTTGGAATGCAGTTTACGTGGTGATGATTACCATTTCATTGTTGTCGCACCCATTTGCTAGTAGTTTAAGTGCACTAATAATGAAACTTTCTGTCCTATCCTGAACGTTTTTCTTAGGGTCGGAATACCATAGTACCAGATCATCTGCGTGAATTAAGCACTTGTTGCTCGTGATGAAGACATTGAAAAGAGTGCAGCTTGTGACAGCTCCCTGTATAAGGCCTGTTTGTAAAATATTGGATTTTGATAGAACATTACCATATCTGAAGTTACATGATCTTTGTCCAATGAATGCTTTTATCCAATTTAGCATGTCATGCTTAATAACAATCTTTGCCAATTTTAGAATTAGCTTCTCTTTCCATACTAAGTCATATGCTGGTTTGAAATCGATAAAAACAGAAGCAAGGGTATTTCGTGCATCAAGAGCATCTTCGATGTGTTGGATAAAAGTGCCTACTTGTTGTTTCGTTGATCTTTGTGGCCTAAAACCTGCTTGTTTACTCCTAAGAATATTGTTAGTCTCAAGGAACAAGGTCAGCCTCCTGTTAACCATTCTTTCCATAAGTTTAGCCAGCACACTTGTGAGGGAGATAGGCCTATAGTTGTCGAATTTGCTAGGGTCTTTGCCCTTTTTTAGTACTGGTATTACTATGGCAACTTTCCATTGGTTAGGTACAAGACTGGTTTCCCAGATTTTGTTGTAAAGAGTCAGCATGGTTTCCTTGGCTTTTGGTCCCATTCTAATTAGAAATTCTTGATGATTAACGTCTTCGCCAGGAGACTTCTTGGACTTTAGCTGTTTTATCGCAGCATTAAGTTCGCAAGGTCTGAATGGATCAGTACGAATATTATTTCCTGTTGCTATGTCTTCCTTAGTTTCCCCAACTGTCTTACTTGTATCTTTAAATCTCTTGAAGATTTTCTGACAAAAGGATTTTTCTTTTGCTTGTTGGAATAAAACCTCGCTAAGCTGTTAGCTATGTTGGAGTCGGAGGTAAGCAGTTTGTTTTTTAAACCTATTGGTTTTTTCTAGGGTCTTTCTTTGTTGATTTTGAGGTTATCGAGGAATTTGAAAGTGCGCTGGCTATCACTTTGATAGTTGATATTTGGGATGAACTTGTCGAAGGAAGTAAGTTTACCTTGTAAGATAGCTTGTCTTAGGACAGCTGACTGCCGTCTCCAGGCTTATACGTCTTCCGTTCTTCCAGTCTGATCAGCAGTGTTGCGAAGGGCGTCCCTCTTTCTTTTCAGTTCCTCAAGGTGTTTAGACCAAAACACTCGATAGTGTTCAGTCTTGCCTCGGGGAATAGTTTTCTTTGCACATCTGATCATAATATTCGTGATATCATGGCAAAGTTTGTGAGGATGTTAGTTGAAGTTGAGGGGACTTGTGCGAAGTTCATTCTCTAAAAGGTAAGTGAATTTAGGCCAGTCAGACTTCTTGAAGTTCCATGATAGCTTAGTTGGCACTTTCCTTGACATGCTTTTGCTGCCGATGGTAATACTAGCAATGACTGGTTAGTGACCAGAGCCAGGATCGGCAATTATTTTGCGGCGAGTATGCTCACTGATGTCGCTTGAAGCCAAGAGTAAGTCAGGAGTTGTTCTGGTTCCATTGTAGTGCAAATATGTAGCCGGATCATCATTGCTGTAAATAAGTTCCAGATGGTTGCTGTTTAGCTTTTCTTCAATTTCCTTTCCAGTTATGTTTGTATCCTTATAGCCCCATCTGGTGGAGTGGGCGTTGAAGTCTCCTAATACTATAGTTTTGTGTGAGATGTTCAGAATGTCAAAGTAGGAACAATTCTGGGGTGGATTATACACTGTATATACCTTGAAGTGGTTTTGACATTTCCAAACAT